ACTGCAGGCTGGCTAGGGCCTGCCTCTCTTGGTCGTTCATCGCAGCTGCCTGGCCTTGACGTACTTGAGGTACTCACCGAGCACCGACCAGAAACCCCTCAGGTACCTCTGCTTCAGCACCTTCGCCACCACGTGGCGCCACCTGCTCTGCACCCTGTCGTTGGTCTTCTCGACCCGATCCTCCTCGTATGGCACCCACAGCCACACGCCGCCGGCAGCCCCGCTATCGCTGCTCGACGCCGTGACTGGAGTGTGCAGGGCGGGCCGCGCTGGAGCGCGGCCGGGCTGGTGCGCGGGAGCGCCGGTTAAACCGACGCTCCGCTACCATGCAACGCTCCTTTGACACAAATGAGCTGCGGACGTCAAACGATATCGATAAGAACAGATACCACTGATTGTGCACGTGAAGGGAAACAAAGCTTCGAAATTCAAACTTCGATCTTCGAACTCCGAACTTCAAACTTCTAACTGCGAACTTCGATGGGGTGCCAGGGACGCAATGGGATGGAGGGAAAAATGGGAAGGAGAGAGCGAGGAAGCGGGAGAGGAAGTTGGAGGAGAACGAACAGGCGTGGAGCGACGAGGAACGGGCGGCGAGGAGCCGACGTTAAGGGCGGCGGGATGGGGGGACAGGGAGGAGAGGGAAGACTTCAGAACGAAGATCGCGCCACGGCGCCTGCGCGCGCGCCCCCGATCTCGGCGGCCGACGCGCGCGCCCCTGCCGAAATGCAACGCGCCCTTCATTCGAGCCCCGCTGCTGCGGAGCCACCTACTCCGCAACCAAATCGTCTGGGGAGCTGTTCGGTCTCCAAAATACTGGTTCTTCAGCCCTTCGGCTCTTGCGAGCCCGCCCTCATGACAAAGGCAACCTTCACATGGGGGCACCCAATAGGGTGTTGATTGAGAACGCCCCATGTGGCTGGTGGCAGGAACGGACGAGGGGGGACGGAGACGGAGGCGAGGCGCGAGGGGGGGGGCAGGACGAACACAGAGGGAGAGGAGCAGGGCGAGACCTGGCAGGGGGCATGCACCAGGAGAGAGATCTCATGGAGGAAGAGGAGGGGAGGGGACGAGAGGCACTCATAATTAAGCGCACGCAGGCCCTCGCACTTGCCCCATTTCTCAGCGACCGCCGCGCCGCCATGAGAACTGTCGTACCACCGCCACTACTGCGGCGGATGCGTGACCTCCCCCATCCCTGTCCTGTGCTGTTTCTGCTGCCACCCTCCCCCCTTCCAGCCAAGCTCGGGCTTCAAGCTCGGAGACGGTCGCGGCTGGCGGCTCTTAGTGCGGGTGCGCGTGCTGCCTCCAACTCCTCACCCCCCTCCTCCTCCTCTCCTCATCCTCCCTCCTCTTCATCCTCATCCTCCTCTATCGGCCCAGCTCCGATCGCTGCTCTGCTCTCCTGGTGCGGCTGGCGGCAGAAGTACCGAATATTGCCTGGGATGTCCTTCACCGTCTTCTTCGACATCTCAAGCATCATGTTGCCCTTCTCCTCGGTACGGCGCGCCCCCCCCATCATCTGCCGCGCCTGGTCGACGAGCATCTGGGCCTTGACTCCAACGGCGCGCGCATGGCGGCAACGATTGCGCCACTCGATGAACCGCGCCACCATGGTCGCCCAGCTCCAAGCACTGCCATCCGTCGCGATGAGCTCGAAGTCATCGACGTCGCACTTGCCCGCGATGCTCGCCATAGCGGCGCAAGACCGCGAAGGGGCCCCCTCTGGCAGCCCCCGCTGCTGCGGAGACTTCGGCAGAGGCCCCTGCGCGGTTCCGTCGCGGAGGCGGGCGGGCGCGGCGGGGGGCAGACCTGCAACGGCTGCGGATTCACTTTATCGCATTGCCATCCCTCCCTGCACGCGCATGGCTTTTCCCATTGCGCCAGTCTGCTGCTCCCACTTCTGAACTACCTCATCCCTTCTACCTCCACCTGCACCCTCCTCTTCCTGTTCAATCTTCCCTCCTCCCTCCACCGTGCTCATTTCTCCTTGCTCCCTTCTCTGCTCCTCCTATGTGGAGCGTTTCACGACAACGACGACGACGACGACGAGGACGATGACCACGACGGCGACAACGAGGACGACGACGACCACGACGACGACGACGAGGACGATGACCAAGACGGCGACCAGCGACGACGACTAGCGACGACGACGACCGACGACGACGACGCCGACCACGACGACGACGGCGACGACGACAACGAGCGACGACGACGACGACAATCGACGCCGACGAGGAACGACGACGACGAACGAGGACGACGATTACGACGACGAGATGACGAAGGTTCGAAGATCGAACCTCGAAGTGCGAAGCTTCGAAATTCAAACTTCGATCTTCGAACTCCGAACTTCAAACTTCGAACTGCGAACTTCGATGGGGTGCCAGGGATGCAATGGGATGGAGGGAAAAATGGGAAGGAGAGAGCGAGGAAGCGGGAGAGGAAGTTGGAGGAGAACGAACAGGCGTGGAGCGACGAGGAACGGGCGGCGAGGAGCCGACGTTGAGGGCGGCGGGATGGGGGGACAGGGAGGAGGGGGAAGACTTCAGAGCGAAGATCGCGCCACGGCGCCTGCGCGCGCGCCCCCGATCTCGGCGGCCGACGCGCGCGCCCCTGCCGAAATGCAACGCGCCCTTCATTCGAGCCCCGCTGCTGCGGAGCCACCTACTCCGCAACCAAATCGTCTGGGGAGCTGTTCGGCCCCCAAACTACTGGTTTGCCAGCCGCTGCTGCGGACGCCGAGGGCCCGGTGCTGGACGCCGCGGCCCCGCTGATGCGGGGCCCCTGAGAAGGCGTCGGCCCCCCCTTCTCTCTGGCGGCGTCGAACTTGACCTCGCGCTCCACACCGAGGTCCTTGTGCCAGCGATAGGTTCCTGACCCGTCGCTCCCGCCCAAGCCCGCGGCTGGTGGCCCCACCGCGTCCGCGCGGGGCATGAGGGGCAGAGCTTCAACCTTCCTGTCGCCCCAGTGCGGGTGTAAGCGGACGCCTGTCCCGTCGTCGCGGTGCAACACGAAATCCCACATCGGCAGCTTCACTTTCACCCGCTGCCCCGCGAACTGTCGCGCGCGCACAATACTCCGGCGCATGTGGTCGTAGCTGTTTGGCCGGACTTCGAGGGAACAGCCGATCAGAGCCCCGCTGCTGCGGGGCCCCCCCACGACCTCCCTGATATCTTCCTCCCTGAGCGTCGCCACCATCTCTTGCCACCGCCAAGGGACTTCCTCGTCGCTTCTGAAACCAAAGCTCGTTCTCGCACCGCGGTCGCAAACAGCGACCATGGTGGGCTCCGCATTGTCAAACCACTTGGCTTCTGACTCGAACGGGGCAGTTGGGTCTTCATTCAGGTGGCGCCACCGTTTCAACGCTTGGTTGTGTTGCTTAAACGAAGTGCCGAGCCTCTCTTCATAATTCAAAAAATAATCAACATCAAACTTCTCAAAATCCTGGGGCCCGCGCGCCGCCGCCGCTGCGGTGGCGCGGGGCTCCTGCGCCGCAGGCGCGGCTCGGGATCCCGACCCCTCTCCTGAAACTGTGCCCCCAGGTTCTGGTGAGTTTCGGAGGGCAGCCCTCGCGAAATTATCGAATTCGGGCATGCCGAGACCAGGGGCGCGGAGGCTCACAACGCTAAGCGCGGCGAAGCGAGACGGCCGTTGAGGCGAGACCGCCGCCGCTGCTGCGGCGGCAGGGCCATCGCGCCACTTGGCGTCCTCCGTTGGCGCGTTCCCGTCTTGTCGCCACTCTCTCCAACCCCACGCTGACCAATCATGGCCGTCCTCCCAGCCACGCCAGCCGCTGCTGCGGCTATCCCACCATCCTTCCGCGCCACCCCATGTGTATCCGCCTGCGTCGCCCATTGCAAGACGATGGCGCAGGCGCGCGTTAGGCCGCGACGGGCCCGGCTGCACCGTTGCTCGCGGGCGATCCCACGGGCGAAGGATGGTTTGAGCATAGCGGCGAGGGACGACGCGATGTGATTGGACGGCAGAGAACTTGAAAGGAAGAGGGGTTGGAAACGGAAGAACGAAGTGGACGAAGAGCGGAAATCGACCCAGAAGGGGGAGAAAAAAAGCGGAAGAGAATGAGGACATGCAGACGAAGGAGAGTGACGAGGTAGATGGCGGGGCAGAACGGCAACGGAGGATAATGTGGTGGAAATTGTGAAAAGGACGCATGGAAAAACACGACGAGGATCACAGACGCAAAGATGATGAGCGCAGTGGTAGCATGACATATCCGAAATCAAGAAGCAGGATGAGGAGGAACGGGATGACGAACAACTCTGTCACAGAGGGCCTCCAAACGCACCCCCTCTGTCACAGAGGGCCTCCAAACGCACCCCCTCTGTCACAGAGGGCCTCCAAACGCACCCCCTCTGTCACAGAGGGGGGAAATGATCACTTTAATGCGGTTTTTGGATTAAGGGGGCGAAGAATTGCATAAACATAAAAACTCCGAGGTCCGCGCGGATTTCTTGGATCCGCTCTGGACCCCCTCCCTGGCGCGTGGAACGCGCCAGGAGCGGCGCCAGAAGCGCCGCCAGGGCGGTCCAGCGCCGATCCGAGAAATCCGCGCGGACCTCTTATGTATGTTTTCGTTCCCCGGAGGTACAGTGGAGGCCAGTCCACAAGAAACCTTCCACAAGGAACCCAACTCTGAGACCGCATGACGTCCACGGATTTTTGCTGTGGGAACGTCGCGCTCTCCCTCGCAAAAACATCGAAACCCAAACCCAGGGCACCCTGGAGGCAAGCAGGGTGTTTCTTGGCATGGGCCCCCACCTGTAAGTTGAAGGCTCGTCCTGCGATCTTCTTGGAGCCACTCGCCCCGCTCGCGGGTCGCTGCTGCGTCGAACGCCCGTCGACCCGCGTCGAACTTGGCTCGATCTTGAGTCGAACTGGAGCCAAACTTATAAAAACAGGCAATGACAGCAAGCAATGACAGACTGGCATGGGCCCCCACTGTAAGTTGGCGCCCTCTGATCTGGGGCTGCCGCGGTCCTCAAGGCTGGTCTCCACGCAGCTATTGTTCACCGGGCTCCCGTGGCGAGGCAGCAGCTCCCGGTGGGCGCCCGCCTCACCGGGTGGCGCGGCGGCGGAGCAACGGGCACCTTTCTGGGGTCTCCCTCCTCCTTTTCCTCCTCCTCCTCCCCCTCCTCCTCCTCCTCCTCCTCCCCTACCTCCTCCTCCTCGTTCTCCTCCTCCCACTACCTCCTTCCTCATCCCTCCTCGTCTTCCTCCTCCTCCTCCTCCTCCTCCTCCACCTCCTCCTCCTCCTCCTCCTCCTCCTCCTCCTCCTCCTCCTCCTCCTCCTCCGCCTCCGCCTCCACCTCCACCTCCGCCTCCGCCTCCGCCTCCGCCTCCACCTCCACCTCCGCCCCCGCCTCCGCCTCCGCCTCTGCCTCCGCGGAGTTTCACGAATGGAGGGCGGGTCGTTTTCAAAATATGCGGTCGCCTCGTCGCCGCGCACACTCGTGTTCAAAGCTTGCAGCAGCTTCGCGGATGTAGAGCGGGTCGTTATCAAGATCTTGCTCTCGCCTTTGCAACGCGCATTCGTCTTCAAAGCTTGCAAGAGCTTCACGGATTGAGGGCGGTTCCTTTTCAACATCTGGCTCTCGCATTAGTGCCGCGCACATTCGTTTCAACAGTTGACAGCAATTTCAAGGATTCTTATGGTCCCAGAAATGATCTGTTGGCACGATTTCGGATGGTTAGGACGCGACAGTCACGTTCATTTGCGGGTTTGACATCCAGGAACGGCGTCCTGGTACGGCATTGCACCGCCAGGACACGACAGTAACGTGGATTCGCGGCGCTGAAGTTCCAAGAATGGTCCGTTGGCATGTTTGCAGATGTTGAAATTATTGTCTTGCATCCCGCCGTGAAAACAAGTCCTCGTGGGGACCCACGACGAGAGAACTTGGAGGAAGGGCATATTGCAACATCATTGAGTCTTAGGTTTGCACTGGTCCTTTTCCTCCTCCTCCTCCTCCTCCTCCTCCTCCTCTCGAGGAGCAGGAAAGCCGCAATCGCCGTCGGCGAGCCCTGCGCCGCCAACGGCCCGCGCCGGGCTGTGCGGGCGCTGGGCGTCGAACATAAAGTGTGACGGCATGTTCGGTTCCGAATCCTCTGCCTTCAGAGGCCGCTCTCTGGCCCCAGGACTGTCAAGAGCCTACCCTCGGGAGCGCCCAAGAGGGGGGCCTCGGAAAAGAGGGCTCGCAACTCATGGCCATGGGCATGTGCGCGGACCGGGCGGGGGGCCAGGCCACGGATCCAAATCTGGGGCATACATCATGGCCCCCGCCATGGTGTCCTGAGATCCGGGCCATGCCATTCGACCCCCCTAGAATCATCCCTCAGGGTGAAGACTGGCCCTCCGGGAAAGGGGCCGTCGAGAGTACCAGGTGGCCAGGCCGCAAAACAAGTGTCAGATGCGAGGTCGGAGCGGAGGGCCCAGAAGACCGGACAGCGGCATGCGTACAAACGCTCGGAGGTCCGCGCGGAGCTCCCTCGGGTCGGCGCCGGGCTCTGCTGCCCCCGCCACCCGTTGGGGAGAGGGTCCAGCAGAGAGGAGAAAGCAGGAGGCAAAGGGACAGAGCACTTGTCAGATGCCGTTGCCGAAAGCCTGGCTCTGGATCATGGAAACAATTGTTCATTTTGTTCTTTCTCGTCGGCGGCTGGGCAGAGTCACTGCGCTGGCGAGGAGGCGACACGGGGCTGCAGTTGAGCGAACTGTGCCACCAGTCAGGCAGGGGGAGGACTGGAGCATGAAAACAGGCCTCCCAAAAACCGCCGCATCGCAACCGGGGCCCACGAAGCGGAGGACTGGCAGCAGGGAGGGACCGCTCTCTCTCTCTCTCTCTCTGAAAGACCAGCGGCATGAGCGTAAGTCGAGTAGGGATCGACTACAGAAGCCGATGTACCCCAACATCGATTTTCCTGTCGAATCAACGAACCAAATACCCACAATGCTCAGTTGATCTGAGGAGCATTCTAAGAATTCTGCTTCGGCGGACAATCAAGTATGGGGTGAACCAGTTCTGCAGTCGAGCCCCTGCTCGAGTAACCGTTCGAAGGCCCTCGCGGGTCTCTCGGGTCGGCCCGCGCCAGAGTAGGGCGGGGACAGCAGGGCGGCAGAGTGGAGGCCCGCCAAGACAGCGAGCGCGCTGAGGCCACCGGAGCGAGAACGGCACGCGGCGGGCGGAAGGAAGCAGAGGGGGGGGCGGACGAGCGGCCCGCAGGGAGGGAGGAGCACAGCCTGGGTGGTGCACATCCCAGAAAATTCGCCGGCCCAACGGGCCAGAGGCGTGCTAAGATCTCCGGTAACTGCTTAACAATTTTCTAGTTCGCGCGCGCGGGGCGGCCCCTGGGGGTCCCCGGACGAAAAGTACCCTGACCAGGTCCCTGGGCAACTCCCTGTCGGGGATGGTTCTGCTCCTGGGCGCCGCCCTCAGGGCCTCCCAAGAGCCCCGAGAAGAGCTCAGAGACCCCCAAGAGGCCCTCAATATGGTCCAACAGAGCTCCAAGACGCCATAATATCGCTCCAAAACGCCTAAGATGGCTCCCCGACGCACCAAGAAGCCTCCAAGAGCCCTGCCAAGAGGTCCCCAAGAGGCAAAATTCATCGATTTCCCTCAAGGTTTTTGAAGGATTTTCGCATTCTCGCCTTTTCCGCTTCCCGACGCTCCAAGACGACCAAAGAGGCCCCAAAGATCGCCCCAAGACGGCCCAAAAGGCCCCCAAGAGGGCTTCAAAACGGCCCAAGAGCGCCCCAAGACAGCCCAAGACGCCCCCAAGACGGCCCAAGAGGGCCCCAAGAACGGCCCCAGAGGGGGAACACGAAACAACATTTCGAGCCCTCAGTCCTAAGAGCCTCCCGGGAGGTCCCCAGAGGTCCCCAAGAGGCCCCCATGGGCCCCCAAGAGCCCCTCAGAAGGCCCCGAAGAAGCCACCAAGAGGCCCCCAAGCGGCCACATGAAGCCCCCAAAACGCTGCCGCGAGCACACGGTATCCCAACGAACATCCAACAGGCTTATAACCCACAACCCCGGCATGGTCTCGGGACTTGCCGGAGGCAACTGGATACACACTGGAATCAACATCATAATACCCAAAGCGGACGATCCATCGGGCAAACGGCAGACATGAGACTGTATGGGCCGGCGGAATGAGCGAAGCGATTAATAATCTACAGGGCACCCAGGACAAAAATCGGCACGGTGTCGAACGAGCATCGCCTCCCAGGGCCCAGCACGCGAGAACCCTCCAGCTTCGGTGCTCTCTCGGTGCTCAAAACTCTTTCCGGTGATCGGGGCCAAAGTAGGCTGGAACATCACAAAGCCTGGGGGGGCGTGAGGGTGAGACGGCGCCAGAGTTAGGTCGGGACTGTCCCCCTAGAGGCGGATTTTGGACGAAAATTGGAGACACAAAAAAACCTACTAACATGCTCAACAACTGTCACGAATCGTCAAAAACTCGTCCCCCGACTATTTTTGGCCTATGTTTGAATATTCCCCTGTAGATGGACACGCTCGACTTAATTTGGATCGGGCGAGAGGGGGGGACAGCAAAGGGGGGGGTTGAGAATCAGCTCACGCTGCTGATTTTCCCGGCGCCTCCCGGCGCCGGAGGCGGCTATGTATCGAGGAATGGGCCCCTCGGTGGGGCCGAAACCAGCTGCATGCAGCAGATTCCGTAACTCCCCCTTTCCCAATCCCCCCCTTTCGTCCGGCCCGACAGAGGTGGGCCCACACGCGGCAGGAACTCGCTGTGGTCGGCCCCCTTGAGAGACACGTCGGCCCCGGGCTGGGCCCGCTCCCCTCCGCAAATGCTGGGCCTGTTTTCCACCACCACCACCAGAAGCTGGAGTGGGAGGGGCTCCTCCTCTTCCTCCTCCTCCTCCTCCTCCTCCTCCTCCTCCTCCTCCTCCTCCTCCTCCTCCTCCCTCCTCCTCCTCCTCCTCCTCCATCTCCTCCTCCCTCCCCCCTCCAACTTACGGTGGTGGTGGTGGTGGAAAAAACAGGCCCACCATCAACACGTTGGGCTTCTGTGGCCACCGCTCGGACGTCCGCCCCCCGGTGCACGGTTCGGCTCCGTGCGCGCCCCTCCCCTCGCAGGCCCCCTCGACGGCCCTCGCCGAGAGCGCACCCGCCCGAGCAGCCCGCCGCCTGGCATCTCAAAACACCGGCAGCCCGGAGGCCTCGGCCGCTCCCAGAGGAGCCCCAAAAAGGCGGCACCTCGACGGCCCTCGCCGAGAAAGACAGCAACACGCCCGAGCGATGCCGAGTGACTCCTCAGCACCGGCAGCCCGGAGGCCTCGGCCCCTCTGGTCGGACCGCCTCCTTGCTCCCGCCCATAGCCAGCCCAGAACTCAGCCCTGTCCATGAGATAGGCGAACAGCAAGCGAGGACAAGCTTCGGGATGTGCCCTCAGAACCTGCGGGAATCCTCAAGAGCGGCATCGAGGTGAGGCAATGTCGGACACAGGAATGGGGCTCTGTGTCAAACTGGCCGCCGCGGCCTGCCTCCCCCGACGGCCCCCGTGGGCCCGCCGGCGTCCCCTGGTGGCAGGGCAGGGCGCGTCACCCGCGCCGGGCTCGCCTGGCCGCCCTGGGCGCCCCGCCGAGGTCCCCGCTGCGCGAGCGCACTCGGCTCTCCCTCCAAGAGAGCCCAGGATCTCGATCGCTGCGTCGGACCGGCGGACATCGGCGGAGATCGGCGGCCGAGCCCGGGGGGACGCCGACTCGGCAGAGCTCGGCAGGCCGGCGGGCCTCTGGGACTGGGAGCAATCGGAGCCCAGCTCGGAACCCCACGTCGCATCGCATCGGAGAAATCCAAGCGAGCCCTGCCCCTCTCCCCGTCCCCTCCCGGCCGCTCCTCTCTCCCGTGGGCCCCCTCTCCGAGTCGGGGGCCACCCGCGGCGCCGTCTCCCTCTGCCTGCGGGGCGCGCGTGCGGTTGGAGGCCCGGAAATTGGCACCAGCACCAGCGCAGGGGTTTGCCTCCACAGGGAGATAATGATCATTTCGGTGCTGGTGGTAAGATTTCGGTCGCCTTGGAAGCCAGAATATTACCACCATCGCCGAGATCGGGATCGTCTTCCCTCGGTGGAGGAACACCGCCGATCTTGGTGTTGGTGTCAATCTCTAGGACTCCGATACGGGCTGCCCCTGCCGCGCACCGCGACGGGAAAAGCGTCGGGTTCGCATCGCGACGGCTTCCGCGCTGCTTGCTGACACCGCGTGGGCCGCGGATCCCCGGGCGACCGCGCCTCTGCGACAGCGAAGGCCACTCGATGTCGGCCGATTCCGGGTCACTGGTGGCATTCGACTTCGAACGCCCGCGCTAAGGGTCGCCGCCGGGTCGAAACAGGCCCAAGCCGTACGCATTGGATCATGGGCCCCTTGTGGCCCAAGCGCCCTGCGCGGTTTTCGGCGAACTTCGGCGGGCTTCTGGCGGTCTTCCGGGATCTTAGGACGGTTTTCGGATCTCCTGACGGCCTTCGGCGCGAAACCTGCATGGCTTCAGGTCGGGCATGTCCTCCTACAGGCGGAATTCGGAGGGAACAAGTAATCAAGAATATACCAAATATGTACAATCTAGTGTTGCTCCTGTATAGGAGGGACGCGCCCAACTTCAGCATGGCTGCGTTTCACAAGGTGTCCGTGGCCGATTACGTAGCAAACCTGCCGCGTATGTCTGGGCCCCCACCCCCCCGTGCGGGGCGGGGCCGTCGCGGGAATCGGCACGGCCCTCGCCGCGCCTTCCCGGCGGTGAAGGACGCGCCCCTGGACATCGAGGACTCCTGCTCGCACCTTGCCGGAAGGAGGGCTAAGTTTAGGTCGGGCATGTCCTCCCACAGGCGCATCTTCGAGGACAAATAAAGCATCGCCAAAAGATACACAATAATAATCAAGCCATAATGAAAAAAGCGTCCCCAGACTATTTGTTGACTATTCTTGAATGTGCCTCCAATCGGGGGTAGGGGGGCATGCCCGACTTACAGTGGGGACCCGACCACAAGAAACCTTCCGCAAGGAACCCGACCCTGAGACCCCAGGACGTCCATCGATTTTGGTGTGGGAACGTCACGGAATCCGTCGCAAAACCATCGCAACCCAAGAAACCCAGGGCACCCTGGAGGCAAGCAGGGTGTTTCTTGGCACGGGCCGCCACCTGTAGGTTGAAGGCTCGTCCTGGGATCTTCTTGGAGCCACTCGCCCCGCTCGCGGGTCGCTGCTGCGACGAACGCCCGTCGACCCGCGTCGAACTTGGCTCGATCTTGAGTCGAGCTGGAGCCAAACTCAGGGAAACAAGCAATGACAGAAAATATAACAACTCGGAGGTCCGCGCGGACTTCGTGGATCTGCGCTGGGACCCTCTGGCGGCCATGGCGCGTGGAGCACGCCAGGGAGGGGGGTCTAACGCCGATCCGAGAAATCCGCGCGGACCTCAGAAGTTCATTATTATGTCATGACTCGTTCCCCTAAAAGTAACATCGGACTGATCCGTTGGGTTGCCCCCCAAAAATCGAGCATCTAAGCTACGGGTTCGTGTCGTCGTCGTCGCCGCAGTCGTCGTCGTCGTCGTCGTCGTCGTCGTCGTCGTCGTCGTCGTCGTCGTCGTCGTCGTCGTCGTCGAAGTCAGGGGATCAACGCTCAAACTGCCAAGGTCGAGATGCTCGATGCGTCTTTTGAGTTCTCTCGTGGGCCGAAGCGAGTAACGTCCAACCCAGTTTGAGGAAGGCTCCAGGGAACAACAGTTCGGGCCACACACTCGCGGGACAACCCTTCGAGCAGACACATATACTCAAACCGATACTTTCTCGTGGCATAAATCGTACTCAAATCGTAGGCTGCGTAAGCGGTGCGGGGTAGTTCGTAATCCCGTGTATGCGTAAAAAGGCGGTGCGGTAATGTATCGGAGAAGCGTTAGACTCGTGTACGTGGGACTCGGGTTGGCTTGACGGGGCCATCATGAAAATGACGAGGCCCAATCGAAAATTTGATGCGAGCTCCAACTACAAACAGCCCACGAAAATCGGACCGTCAAAATCCAGGACGCGCTCATAAAAAAACGTCGACCAACCCGAGTTTCGGCATACTCGAGTCTTACGTTTCCCCGAATGTAGTCCACACGTCCTCGCGAGGGCGAGGCGTCGGTGAGGGACTCCAAAAGTATGGATCCATCGCATCGGCGACCGGTTAGCCTGTCAGAGTTGGCCAGGATGTTTGGTACGAGCATGACTGGGGCATGTTGCAACGCAGCGAGGCGAAACTATGCCACGCAATTTTGTTTGGCACTTGCACGGTTGCGCTGTGCAAGCTCTAGTGTCCAGAGACGTGTTGGTATGTGTATGTGTGTATATATATATATATATATATATATATATGGTATTGGCTTTCTGATCGTCGCCGTACTGATTTGATTGGTTCCCCGGTTCGGTACATGATCGGGGGGGCGGCTCTGGCAGGCGGTCCTTTGTGAGCTTCGAGGGTAAAGCCGCCGGGGCCTTCCAGGACGCCTCCTGGGGCCTCTCGGGGGCCGTAAGCCTCTTCTGGGCCTCTTCTGGGCCTCCTGGATGCCTCTTGGGGCCTGCAGGGGCCTGCTTGCGGTCTCGAGGGCCGTCTGGAGGCTCTCTTGGGCCGTCTTGGAGCCCTCTTGGGCCGTCGTGGGGGTGTCTTGCGGGCCTCTTGGGCCGTGCTGGGGCGGTCTGGAGCGCGTCCTGGGCCACCTTGGAGCGTCTGAAAGCCCAAAAATCGTACACGCTCATTTTGGGCCTCTTGGGGCTCTCTTGGGAGGCCACTTGCGGCTCTCTTAGGGCGTCTGGGGGTCCCCTTGGGCCGTCTTGGGGCCATATTGGGCGCCATCTTGGGCCGTCTTGGGGCCCTCTGGAGGCCATCTGGGGCCGTCTTAGGTCCTCCAAGGGCGCTGCGGACGCAGCGGTCCCTACCGGGCCCGAAGTCTGGCCGGATCCGTTTCTATGCGTACAGGGCTTCATTGTATTAGACAGCTATATATCTTCCCCCGCCTCCCAACGACTGCATGCTGACTGTGCTCCGCGGATGCGTTGGACTGGCTTCTCATCCCGAGTAGTCCCACCAGCCCTTTGGGCGTGAGTGGTTTAGAGAGCCCGCTCTGTCCTCAACCCCCCTTCTTCCCCTTCGGGGAGGGGTTTACCCCTCCCCCTACCCCCTACCCCTGGACCTGGACAGGGAGTCCGGGGTGGTGGCAGGGGTTTTTTTTTCGACTCCTGGGAGGGCCAAAAAACGACGACCCTCACGAGGATTCTGGCCCCGACGGGGGGGCCGAGTTTGGCCCCTCTTCTCTTCTTTGAACCAAAAATCATTGATTTGACTAGTGTTTTGGCCCCATTTTGGCCTTCTGAGGGGGCCGCGCTCATCGTCCTTCATAGCAAAATCATTGATTTTACGAAGGTTTTGGGCACATTTTGTCCTTCTCAGGGGGCAGCTCTCATTTACGCTTCTGAGGAGGTCGCAAGAGGCCCCAAGATGGCCCCAAGAGGCCCCCAGGAGGCTCCCAAGAGGCCTCCAAGAGGCCCCCCAGAGGCCCCCAAGCGGCCCCAAGAGGCCCCCAAGAGGCCCCCAAGAGGCCCCCAAGAGGCCCCAAGAGGCCCCAAGAGGCCCCCAAGAGGCCCCCAAGAGGCCCCCAAGAGGCCCCCCCAAGAGGCTCCAAGAGGCCCCCAAGAGGCCCCACGAGGAGCCCGAACGACTCACACCAGGACGAGGGGCCCGAACGACTCACACCACGAAGAGCCCGAACGACTCACACCACAAGGAGGGGCCCGAACGACTCACACCAGGACGAGGCGCCCCAACGACTGCATGCTGACTGTGCTCCGCGGATGCGTTGGACTGGCTTCTCATCCCGAGTAGTTTTTGTCACGATCCCCGAAGCAGGAAAGGGCCCCTGAAGGCCGAGAACGAGCAAAAACCCTCCCGTCGCGTAATTGTTTCGCGGCGCGCGGATGTCAGGCTCCCTCTCGGAAATCTTCTGACCCGGTCAATCCAGACCCGGGTCGGCCAGGCCTTGCAGCATCCTGCAGGATCCTGCAAGATCGGGCGCTCTGGCTGACCCCCGTTTGCATTGACCCCCGTCCAAAGGCTCCCGACCCTCTTTTTGGACGCCCGAAATGGGTACGGAAAACATGGGCACGATGCCCAACAACGAATATGTTGTCCAAAACCAACAGCGGCCGCTGTTGGGCAGGCGGCCTTCTGTCTCAGATGGACACAGGCCGCGGCGGCGCGGACAGCGAGTCCTGTTCAACATGAACAAGAGCTGCCGTTGGGCATCGTACCCATTCTTTCCGTGCCCATCTCGTTCGTGCAGACTCTTCCTCGCCCCCCGCGCCGGTGGCGGGAGCCCAGGAGCTCGTTGATCTGGTAGGCGTGCAGCCTGGTCTCCGAGAGGCTGACCTGCTGCGTCAGCTCGCGCAGGAGGTGGTCCTCTTCTCTCCCCGGGGGGACGCTCGGGGCCCCGATGGGAGGCCCCTGGGCCCGGACCTCCTCGCGCAGCGAAAATGACCTGCTTCTTCTCAGCATAAGGTCGGGCGCGTCCTCCTCCAGGCGGATTTGCAACGAAAATTAACGAAAAATGGAAAATATTCAGACAAATACGCCAAAAACAGTAAAAGATCGTCCTCAGACTATGTCTTCCTTTTTTTTTTTTGAATATTCCTCCTGTAAAGGGACAGGCCCGACTCCACCTTAGCATCGGCGGACGCAAGCGAGTGGGTCGGTACCAGCGGGGCGCCCCGGGCGGGAGGCGCTCCACACCTGTGGAACAGCAGAAGGCGGCCGCGGAGGCAGAGAGAGGAGGGAGACCCGACCGCCGAGAGCCGAGTCGCAGAACGAGCACGACGGGCGGCGGGGTATCGCTCAAGCCAGCCTCTGGGTGCCCTCACCGCGCACCGGGACCGTCAGAAAAGGACTCAGGACGGAGAGCTGGTCCCGTGGAGAGGGGGCCCAGGCCTCTGGGGCAGGCGGGGGCCGGAGGAGGAAGCGCGGGCTCTCCCCTCAGAGGCGGAAGGTGCCGATGCCGCTGCCCTTTGCCTCCTTCCCGCCATGGTGGCCTTCCTGAGGGGACCTCGTGGCCACGGCCGGATCTGCCTGGAGAGGCCCAGGGTTCGGAAAGGGCCCCCCTGGCAGAGGGGCCCCAGCGGGGGGCTGCGGCTGCGTGCCGCTCCTTGTGGCCGCTGCTCTGCATCATCTCCGCCAGGGCCTCCTCCGCGTGCGCGAGCTGCGCGCCCATCTCGTCGACCTGGCCGACAAGCCCCTCCCCCTCCTCCTTCGCCTCCCTCCTCCTTCTCATCCCAAGCCGCCGTCCTGGTTCGAGGCTTTGGGTGCAGCGCCCTGGTACCCGGTACCACGCGTTGCGAGCCTACTCGGGACACGGCGGCCAGACACGCCAGCCCGCGCTGTGGATTGCCGTAGGCGTGCGGGCCAGCCGTGCTGCTGACGCGGCGTGCGCCGCCCCGTGACGGGCGCCCACGGCGCGCGAGCCGGCCTGGCACAGGCGAGCTCGCGAGCGGCGCACGCAGTCACGCATCCTGCTGCGTGTGGGATGTTTGCGCGAGCAGTGGAGTGGACAACTCACTGCGAACAGAAATTAACTGCACCACATAGATTGTACACGTGTGAGGCCCAGGCTGGCGAACATTCGTAGGGTATTCGACTGGCCAACCAATGTGGGGCCCAACTCGGGGATGCACGAGGGAAGGGCGCCCATCCGCGATAACTCAACACGGGCTCGCCCGAACAGCCCCCTTCCCCGCGGCCGGAAGTCGGCCTCCAGAGGCAAAGAGAGCGTGACAGACAAGACGCCTCGAATCTTGAGATGCGCCAGCTGTCTGGCTGTCTGGGCCTTCCCCCCTCCTCCTCTCCGTGGCGCGCCCAGCGGAAGGCAGAGGCAGGGGAGCGAAGAATGGCATAAGCATAGAAGCTCGGAAGCCCGCGCGGATGTCTTTGATCCGCGCTGGGCCCCCTTCCCCCGGCGCGCTCCGCGCACCGGGGGCGGCGCCGGAGGCGCCGACAGGGGGCCCCAACGCCGACCTGAGGAATCCGCGCGGACCTCCGAGTTTTTATGTTTATGTCATTGTTCGTTCTCCGATTCCCCCCTCCTCCTCCTCTCGGCGGCGGGCGGGCCTTCTTATCAAAAGGCTCGGAAGGCATCCGAACCCCCTGGCCTTCTGAGATGCCCCGCCGCCTTCTGAGAAGGCCTGCCTCCTTTCGCTTGCTCCCTCGGCGCGCCAGCGAGATGGGTTTCGGGTCATAGCTCGGTCTCTAGCGGCCTCTCGGGACGCTCCACCCTGGGAGCGCTCTCGGCGAGGCGCAGCCGCTGGAACGCATCCCAAGGGTGGACCCCCCCGAAAACTTACGAAAACGCTCGAAAAAGTATACTTTGCGATTTGGTGTAGGAATCCGCCGGCTCCCGCTTGCCGGGGGTGAAAAGGCGTGTGAGATATTTGGCCGTCCCCCCTCCCACTGTCCCCCTCCCCCAGGGCCCCAAATTTGCCTTTTCAGGGGAGGGGGAGGAGGGGGGGGGCAGACGAGCTCACCAGCGCACCCCCCTAGCGCCTCTGGAGCCTCCGACAAGCCCTACGTCTGTCCAAGAGGGCCCAAACAGAGCGCCAAGACAGCCCCAGAGAGTGTCGAGACGGCCTTCGGTAATTAGCCCCTCGACGGCCAAAGATGGCCTCGAGACGGCACACGAGGTTCCTCTAAGAAGGCCCACGTGGTTTCCCCAGGGACCGCTGCGGAAGGCTCCTTGGCGGCGCGCAAAGCGGGGGTAGGGGGAGGGGGGAAGGCTTCTTAGGAGGCTGCTTCTCAGAAGCCGCGGGCCTTACGTTTACAGATAAGGCCCGCGCCTTCTAAGACACACGGGTGCTTCTAAGAAGCCTTCCCCCCTCGCCCTACCCCCCTCTGCGCGCCGCCAAGCTCCAGTAGGCCCCCAAGAAGGCCCCAAGACGGACCAAGAGGGCTGGCCCTACGACGGGCCAAGGAGGGGCCAGCAGGGCCCGTCCAAGAAGGCCCACAAAGCCGCCCATGAGGGCCCAAGAGGCATCGAAGCGGCCCCCAAAAGGGCCCAACACTGGGAAGCCGAACTGATATTCGAGCCTTTCACCCCAAGATGGCCCCAATAGCCCCCGCAAGCCCCCGAGACGTCCAAGAGGCCCCCAGAGGCCCCCAAGAGGCCTCCAAAGGCCCTCAGGAGACGCCCAACAACCCCCCCTTTGCAACTTCAAGAAGCTCTCCAGATGCCCCGAAGAGGCCCCTTCCCGCTCCCCGCCGTCCTCCCCCTCCACGTCCTTCTCCTCTCCTGCTCTCTTTCGAACCAGTGAGTCGAGTCTTTCCGTTGGGGTCGGCGGAATGGCATGAGCCTCTTGAACTCTTGAATCAGTCCAGTGGGTGATCCAAGACGACGCCAGAAGGAGGACATCATCGGATGCGTATAAATCGAGCGTCTCTGAGATCCGGCAGCTCTGCAGGATGCATCGGGCGCTGCGGCCTTATCAGAGCGCTCCAGAACGCTCTGGAACGGATTTATCCTCGTCCTAGCCCCGCCCGAGGCTCATAGCCAGTGGAGACGCGGATCATAAAGCAGAGCTCACCGAGGATCATCGTCGTCGACGACGACGACGACGATGACTGCGACGAGGACGAGGACTGCGACGAGGACTGCGACGAGGACGAGGACGACGAGGACGACGAGGACGACGAGGACGACGAGGACGACGAGGACGACGAGGACGACGACGACGACGAGGACGACGACGACGACGACGACGACGACGACGACTGCGGCGACGAGGACGGCGCGCCCCTCGGCGTGCCGCCGCTCGGCGTCGTCGCCCCGGGTGCTCGGCAGGGCGGGCCTGGCGCTCCAGCCGCTGGCTGCAGGCCCGCTCCCGGGACAGCTCCTCCTGCAACAGCGCGTAGCGGTCGGCTCCCTGCGCGACCTCGGCGCCCCGGGGTGGTCCCAAGGTGGGGTCCTGAGGAGTGGGGTCCTACGGATAGGGAGGGCTCCAAGGGCAGATTTGCTTCGTTTGAGGCTTCTCGTCCTCAGAACCCCATCCCTCAGGACCCGATCTTTGAACCACCGACCCCCCCTGCGCGACCTCCGTCGTCGTCGTCGTCGCCGCCGATCGTCGATCGGTCGAGACTCGGGGCTCCCAAATCCCCGACGAGGTTTTCAATCTGCGAGCCGTTCCTCTGTGCTGGCCCAGCAAGACCGGATCCGGGATGGAAAATCACTCGGGCCACGGACTGCTTAGGAGGGACGCGGGAACGCTTTGTTTCGTTTGGGGGCCTCCTGGCGGCTCCGCGCCGCCACGGCCAGGTTCCTTGCGAAATCCTGGCCAAGACAAGCCCCAGGATGGGACCGGAAGGGGGTCGGCGTCGACGTGAGGAGGAGTGGGAGAGTGAGACGAGAGAGGGTGAGGAGGAGGAGGAGGAGGAGGAGGAGGAGGAGGAAAGGAGAGGAGAAGGAGGAGGAGGAGGAGGAGGAGGAGGAGCTTCGGCGACGAAGATGTCGAGTTACGCCTATTGGCTGCGCCATCTCGGGGCCCGGGAACTGGGCGGCCCGTCCGCTGACATCCGCCGATCTGGTTTGTTCAATTCGCGGCCCCAGGGCTCCCGGCCGTTCCCCCTGGGTAGTTGTTTTGGGTGCTGCCGTTGTATGCGACGCATCCGGTGGAGCTCCCTCTGGGGCCACGAATCGTGTGAAGGGTTCCCAAACTGGGTGGGCGGAAGAATGCGAGCTCTGGGATTTGGGCCGTCGGTGGAGTTCCTATGGGGCGACGAAGCGTGTCAGGGGGGCCCTAACATGTGCGCGGTGGCCGCATGCGAGAGCTGGCATGTGCGCCTTCGGTGGAGCTCCTATGGGACCACAAAACGTGAGGGGTGTGCCAAAATCAGCGCGGTAGGCGCACGAAAACGGCCCCCAGAGATGCAAACATCCCCAGGGAACGCCCAGACGACAAGAATCAGATCGTCCGAGGTCTGGGTCTCCGAGTGTCTCCAGGGCCGCCGGGGGCCTCCAGGGGCCTCGCGAGGGCATGCGATAGGTGGCGACACCCGAACACTAGGCCCAACAGCCATCGCTTCTCCTGGGTCGACTGGAGGCGGGGGTTAGAGCTCAGGGCTCGGATTTCGCCACGCGTTCGACGAATTCCGAACCCTACCCCCGCCGCCCACCGCGTTGCCTGGACCGTTGATGGGCGAGGGGATGAGGGGTACACTTTCCACCACCACCACCACCATATGTAGGAGAAGGAGGAGCAGAAGGAGGAGGAGGAGGAGGAGGAGGAGGAGGAGGAGGAGCAGGAGCAGGAGGAGGAGGAGGACCTCCTGCTCCTCCCCCCTCCCCCGTCCAGCGTGTGGTGGCGGCGGTGGGAGAGTTGCCCGTCAGGGGCAGGGCCTGGAGTTCGCCGCCGACGCCCAGGGCCCCCGAGAGGAGCCCCCGAGGGGCCTCGCGCGCCGCGCCCGCGGGGCCGCGCCTGGGTCTTCAGCTCGTCCGCCAGCGCCTGCAGCCTCCCGCAGTCCTCGGGGGCCGCGCGGCCGGGGCACGACCACAGCTGCGACAACAAGCAGCAGCAGCAGCAGCAGCAGCAGCAGCAGCAGCAGCACCACCACCACCACCATCCTCCTCCCCCTGCTCCTCCTCTGCCTCTTCCTCCTACTCCTTTTCCTTCCCCTCCTTCTCCCTCCTCCTACTCCTCCTCCTCCTCCTCCTCCTCCTCCTCCTCCTCTCCTCCTCCTCCTCCTCCTCCTCCTCCTCCTCCTCCTCCTCCTCCTCCTCCTCCTCCTCCTTCCTCCTCCTCCTCCTCCTCTCCCCTCCCTCCTCCTCCTCCTCCTCTCCTCCTCCTCCTCCTCCTCCTCCTCCTCCTCCGCCTCCTCCTCCCTCCTCCTCCTCCTCCTCCTCCTCCTCCTCCTCCTCTCCTCCTCTCCCCCCCCTCCTCCTTATCCTCTTCCTCCCCCTCCTGTTCCTCCTCCCCCCCTCCTCCTCCTCGTCCCTCTCCTCCTCCCCCGCCTCCTCCTCCTCCTCCTCCTCCCGCTCCTCCTCCTCCTCCTCCTCCTCCTCCTCCCGGGCGGCGCCGAGCGGCGGGTGCGCGAAGGCAGGAGTAGCCGGCCTCCAACTTATCCCTATCCCTGAGCTGGGCGAGCAAGAAGCGGGGACAATCTCGGGGGCGTGCCCTCAGAGACTGAGGGAGTCCTCAAGGTCAGCGTCGAGGTGAGGTGATGCCAAACACAAGGATAGAGATATGCTTCAAACTGGTAAAGGAGAGCCCATCGTCGAATCGACAGGTCGAATCGGCGATCGACCTGAATCGGCTCGAATGACATCGGCAGCCGGGCCAGAAAAGGCTGGATCGGCAGACATCGACAGGCTAGTAGGCCTCCCGCGAGAAGTCGGATCCCAAACCAAGGGCTCCTAACTTCGCGCTTCGCGCTCCGCGAAGCGCGAATGACTTCGCGCTCCCGCGCCACCCCCCAGGGGGAGAACAGGAGGACACGGAGGAGGGGGGTAACGAACGAGGACCGCGAAGCGCGAATAGTTTCGCGCCCTCGTGGGAGCCCTTGCAAACCGGAATCCAACATCGAATCGAGTCGGAATGGGAACCCATCGGGATCGAATCGAGTCGAATCGGCGGCATCGAAGCGCGAGCCCTCTGGGGGGGGGGCGCGCCGACCCCTTCGCGTCCCGAGCGAACCCCGGGGCTCCACCCGGGAGATGCTCCCGCCGGTCCCCGCGCAGCTCCTCGATTTTCGACTTCGGCCTCTGAGGCCCCCCCTCGGGCCCCCGTGCCATCTGAGGTGGATTGAAGGGGCCCCAGGACACACAAATAAACACACACACAACTATATATGAAGACTCCCCATATTTCCCCATGTTTTGGGGGGTGTTTGTCTTCCCCCCCACTTCCCATATTTTCCAATATTTTCTGGGGAATCGACGGTTAGTTGTGTCTGTGTTTGTCCCCCTCCTGATGGATGCCGGGCGGGAAGGAGTCGGGAACTCTGGTGCCGCGAACTGAAGTAACACCCCTGCGGCACCACAGTACGACCCGCTTTCGACAGTCACGGTGGGGGCCACGACGTGGGGGGTCACGAGTGGGGGACCACGATCGGGGGATCGGGGCAGCGGTAGGGACGGGGGCAGGGACGTAGGGCTAGATATACAGGGATGGGAATGCACGAATAGGGATGGGGTTAATATTAGGAATAGGGACAACAGGGATATAGAGACAGAGAAACATGGATACCCATCGGTCGGAAGAAGTAGGTAGAACCATGAAGTAGGAAGACGATGAAAATAGATTGGGTTCCGTACGCCCCCTGAGGAGGGCGGAAGAGGCGGAGCCACTCGATCCTTGAAGTAGGAAGGCGCTTAAAATATGCTGGAATCTGGGAATCCAGAAACACCTATTTTCAACGACCGATGGGTAAGCTGCTTCCAACGATCGATCATATTGGAGCAGGGAAGGGGCCTACTAAAGCAGATTGGAACCAGGGAATCACCCCAAATACCTACTTTCGACGACCGATCAAACGGATATCAAGACGGCAATGGGAGGCCACGGGAGGCCACGGGAGGCCGCGGGAGGCCACGGGAGGCCGGGGCCCATGGCCCGCTCTCTGCCTCCCGTGGTCCCATAAGGGGGTCCCGGGGCGGGGGGACCCGCGGGGTGGCCCCGGGGCAGACATGCCACCCTCCCGCGGGGCCCATGGCCGGCCCTCGCCCTCCCATCTCCCCGTCGAGGGCCGAGGCCTCCAGGTCGACGGCACCGGCCGTACGCAGGGGAACGAAGAATGACGTAAACGTAAAAGCTCGGAGGTCCGCGCGGATTTCTCGGATCGGCGCTGGACCCCCCTCCCTGGCGCGCGGAGCGCGCCAGGGGCGGCGCCGGAGGCGCCGCCACGGGGGGCCAGCGCGGAGCCGAGAACTCCGCGCGGACCTCCGAGTTTTTACGTTTATGTCATTCCTCGTTCCCCTCCGTGAGGCCTTCGCAATATGGGTACTGCTGAGGACGGCGGGCGTGGATTGGCGGCGCGCAAAAGGGGGTAGGGGGAGGGGGGAAGGCTTCTTAGAAGCACCCTGCTTCTTAGAAGGCCTCGGCCTTACGTCTATAGAGAAGGCCCGCGCCTTCTAAGAAGCAGGGGTGCTTCTAAGAAGCCTCCCCCCCTCCCCCTACCCCCCTCTGCGCGTTGCCGA